TTCTTTTTAATTGTTTTATCATATTTAACACAAAAAAAAACTTCTTCATCCAGTCTTCAAAACCTTATAAATCGAATAAGTTCTTTTATTTTCAGGACTTTTTTTGAAAAGTTTAATATTTTAAGAACCAAACACTTAATTTTTACTAGCATTGCAATTTTTCCCTATAAAAAATATTCAGAAGATGAATTTTGCTCACAGATAAGTTTTTCTAACAACTACATACAACATCGTGATATTCTGATTTCTGAAGCATTCTGCACATATATCATGCTTTCTAATATGATTTTAATAGGCATGGCATCAAATATTATTTTCGTATATGCCTCTTTTTTTCATTCTATGTTGTGATAATAAATTGTTACATTTCTATTCTTGTGTTAAGATTTCTTAATATCATGATCTGACAAAAGTTTCATTTCTGGAAAAAGGCAGCACTTCATACGTCATACCATTTTCCATTTGAAGCTGATGCTATAGCTGTTGCTGAAAATAAATGTTAAGGTTTTTTTCAAAATGTGAAATTTAGCGCAGAGATGCATTGGTACTTAATTTTGACTTCACTTTTTTACAGAGTAAACTTGCTGAGGATCTTTTTTCACACATTTCCTTGATATAAAAATTTTACTGAACACCTGCTCTCGATATTTTTTAATCAAATTACCGACGAAAAATATTGGATATTTTTTCACAAAGTTATGGAAATGTTGAATTTATGAAATTTTCTGATTCCATATATCACTTGAGACGTCCAGTAGATGAATACTTAAATGAATTGAAGTCTACATTAACGCTTCTCTCTGGGGGCTCTTAAAGCAACGCATGTGCATAGAGAAAATTCGGACTACTGCACATTCATTCAATAGAAATTTTTGACGCAGTAATTTGGACCCACAATGCATCACTTGTTAAAGCTACGTTCTCGCGAGAATAGCAGCAAAAGTTCAAAACAGAGTGATTTAATGGATAAATATTGAAAATAAATAGTAAACGAAACGTTTTTCATTTACTTTCAGCACTGTTCAGGCTTCTTTTTGAAAATGTAATTTACATACGACGTCAGAGTCTAGACGCACCAAATGTCACGTGCAGGTTGACGAGTCCGATCTAAATCAAAACAAAATAAATATCTGCGCTCGCCATAATGGTCGCACCGTCAACATATTACTTTTAATTTTTTTTTATTTTTGAATTTTTTCAATCCGAACAAAAACGAAGTGGGCAGAATTGCAGAGATATAAATTCTATTGAATAGCGAAGATTACAAACAACAACCGTGCTCACATGTTTTGTCAAGCAATATAAGTATATGTTGTCATGTGAGCAGTGCAAAACTATGTCGGAATCAGGTGTCATTACATAAAGAATAGCTTGTATTCTCCGTTTTGAAGCTGATTGTATTTTTTTGATTTGGGTTTTGTCTGAGAGATTGTTGGTATGAGTATAGGGCAGCATGAGGGTTCCCTGTTACATCTTGACAGATCCCCAGAATCATCCAAGATATGTCTCTGTAAGGTTTAAGCAATTCCTGATCATCGTGAACCAGGGTCTTTAGATCATCTACAGCTTTTTGTACTTTCATTGTGTCTACATGTCTTTAGCACAAGATATCTAGCATGCGTAACAGTATATGAGTGGGATATATGATATATCCTCATGATTTTCTAGAGCAGCATGTTGTTCTATAGTCAAGTCACTGATGTAAGATATTTTATTGTCTAGTTCGATATAGTCCCTGCTACAGCCTGTCTCAACTTTGTAGACCAAGACTGTCCTCCAACAGCCTCTAAATACTCCTCTGCATTCACATTCATATCTAACCCATGCATCACACAAGGCTGTAATAGCTTGACCTTGATTTCTTCTAAAATAGATATAGCTTTTATGTATCTAAAAGTCAAGACGGATGAATCGAGAACCAGAAGGACAGAAGACAAACTCTATATGCCCCATCCATATTCAAGGCAGGACTAAACATATACCATAAATGACTTTGACAAAACTTTCAAATTGGTAAGTCATCTCAATGATAACAACTTGTAGTAGAACATAAAATAGGAAAAACCCCTACATAAACAAATACATGGGCGCAGACATTTTGGACACCCAAAGTTGTGCGGAGTATAAAATGCTAGCTGGCGCGTGATTGGTCAATAAGAGGAGAGACTTGTTATGTATCTGACTAGTGAAATAAAGTTGATAAAAATCTCATATCAAGACTTGGGATTCTTTGAGATATAGAGGAGTTACAGGTAAAAATTCAAAGGGAGGGGTGCCCTTTGGTTAGAGATTTTCATTTGGTGTCAAACGCACCTTGTTGTAAACAAATGGAAATGGAAAGTAAAAGTGCCGCGTGACGGTATATTTTTTCTGGCATGTTTTGTTTTCCAATATCTCGAACTTTCACGGCGAAAAGGTCATTTGCCCAAAATTCAATATATGTATGAGTGACAGGGGCTCAAGTTTGTATGGAAGTCTATGGGAAAACATTTGGTGGTGTTTGTCCTATAGAATAGGTATTATTTCATGGATAAACATTGATTACAGCCAAAAAATCAATCAGTTCCTATTTTTTTGGCAATGAGATCATATTTTAGTTAGTTTTTACTATTTGTTTGAAAATTAGAGGGTTTAGGTAAATTGGGGCTCACAATGGGGACTGCACATGGTGAAAAAAAGCCAAAATTTTTGCTCTAGCTCTCATATTTTCAATAAATGTACATGTAAATAGTTTTAAATTTAAATTTATGCTGAAATTTACTGTGAATATTGTAAATGATACAATATTGATATTTATGGACATCATCAATTCACAAAACATATGAATATCCCCCTCGCAGTTTGAGAAATTCATTTAAATTCATGTATTTTATGAGTGCAGACATTGGAATAGATTGGCTAATCCTCTTTCAAATTTGTGTTAATCAGAGTTGATTTAATAACTCATATAACAAAATTAGACTTCTGTTAAGTAATTAGCTTACTTTGATTTTAAACAAGTGCCCAAATTAGCAGCAAAGCCAATTTTAGTCATGTTATCAGTGCTGGCTTGATATAAAAGTTATACTTTGGTGAAATTTAGAGGTTTCTAGTAGGAAATTTAATTTAAAATGCTGTAAAAGATATTGTAGCAGAAAATACATTGAAAATACAAGAAATTTGCAAAATTATTATTGAAAAAATGATGAAAAAAGTGTCTGAATATCCCCCCTCCTTGCCATATCAAATCTTTATTTCTGCAGAAAAGAGGGGGGGGGTAATTTTGTACTCTAATGATGCTCGAAAATGAAGGATTTTTTTAAAATGTGGTTTATTTGAACAACTTAGAGTCATACTTATCTGCAGTTATTTTTTTCAATTTCTTAGATACTTTTTAAGATAATTATCTGAGTAAATTCTATTTAAACATGATTATTTTAAAGCTATTTCATCACAAATGCTTATAAAAAATTCAAAAGATGATGTAAATAATAAAAAAATACAATATAAGCTACTACATGCATTTATCAGTATGTTTCAATAAAATAAAATGTATTTCAGCGATGCATTCTCATATAGGAGGAGATTAATGAACCCTCCCCCCTTACAATGAACAACACATGGACACTCTGAGTATGATCCCTTTGCTTCCATTAAGAGTTCCAAGGTATGGTTTTCTTAGAAAATCTAGTTAATCTCTTAATAATTAATTTATTTAGAACTTTTTATAGATTATTAGAAAAAAAATTTCTTCAGAACTGCAGTTATTTAAGCACTTTGCTTACAATTGAGCACTGTATTCAGTCAGACAATATGATTTATCTGCCCTTGGCATTTAATCAATTTATTAATTATGTCAACAATAGTAAATGATATGCAAATAAATATGTTTGCCTTTTATGAGAATATACATATTTAACACCAATTACATAAAATGTTCATGGAAATTGGCTTTAATGTAGGTCACCCCCCTTCAAAATTACAAAAATTTCAGTGGGGATGTATTTGATTCTCTGATGCCAGCAACCCGTTGCTGATAAAATTCTAAGTAATCTTATGTACATTTGAACTAGATATAATTCTCTTTCTTTCCATTGATTATTTTATCTACATTAGTTTTCCCTTTTTCCAGAACTCAGCATTTTTATACAAAAAACTGCTGATTTTCTTCATTTTTCATTAATAACGGGCACCTGCTACCCTGAATGATAAACATGACCTCTCTTGAGAAAGTTTTAGAGATAATAAGAAAAACAAGCAAAACATATGCTAGATTAAACATTTTATTTCAAAAGTTTGAAAGAAAAATAGAAAAATGCTTCAATTTATAGACATCTTTTCTGTTTCACAGATGTGGGTCTGATTGACGGGGGTGTGAAATGTAACAGCCAATGGTGTACTTAAGCTAAGATTGTCAGTCTCAATATTCAAGAGGTGAGATAAGCAATGGATATATGTTCTAAATTTACTAAATTGACCACTTTTTATAAATGTTTCTTTTACTCTATAGGAAAAACCCCTACATAAACAAATACATGGGCGCAGACATTTTGGACACCCAAAGTTGTGCGGAGAACAAAATGCTAGCTGGCGCGTGATTGGTCAATAAGAGGAAAGACTTGTTATGTATCTGACTAGTGAAATAAAGTTGATAAAAATCTCATATCAAGACTTGGGATTCTTTGAGATATAGAGGAGTTACAGGTAAAAATTTAAAGGGAGGGGTGCCCTTTGGTTAGAGATTTTCATTTGGTGTCAAACGCACCTTGTTGTAAACAAATGGAAATGGAAAGTAAAAGTGCCGCGTGACAGTATATTTTTTCTGGCATGTTTTGTTTTCCAATATCTCGAACTTTCACGGCGAAAAGGTCATTTGCCCAAAATTCAATATATGTATGAGTGACAGGGGCTCAAGTTTGTATGGAAGTCTATGGGAAAACATTTGGTGGTGATTGTCCAAAACTTACTATGAAATGAAAGTAGATGTTATGGAATTTTTCTATATATTTATAGCAACTGAAACTTTCAATATCAAAATGGACTCCATTAAAAGCTCACAAATGTAAGTTTTAATACAGCAATATATTAATCTAATAGTTCATAAATAATGTGAATAAGTACATTTTTTGATATTTTTAAATATTAATTTTACTTTTTACACAACTGATTGAAAACATATGGCACAAATCTAATTGAAACAATAAATTAATCTAACTTTTATTTCATTTCTAAAGATTAATAGTTTAGTTGAGAAAAAATTGACTTGAGTCTATAAGGGTTGATGATAATTATATAACCGATTTTCAAATAAGATACAGGCATATTTGTATTATAAAACAATATAAATTCTAATGAATCATTCTCAGTGAGACAGCCATACAACACATATCAGAGTCAGTGTTTGTGGGACTGTGTCAGAAATTGGGAACCTCACAACTAGTGGTCATGAGGAGAGATTTGGTGGACATTAATGATATCGTGAGAAATCAAATGAAAACACGTAATGAGTACAGTAGGATGGTGAGTGGAAGTCAAAGAGAAGGATTCAGACTGAAAGGATCAGATGTAGACTTTATGTACTGGCCAAATAATCACCGTGTGATCTGGGAATTTTCTTAGTCTCAGTATTACAACACACACAGGCAAACACTGATTCTCTGTGAATGTTCCGATAGTCCACCCGGATATGCTTTGTTATATTTACTGTCACCAAGCCTGGAGAGAAAAATCCAGAGAGCTTGTGTTGAAATGAATAACAGACATTATATATCTAGTTCTATATACAAACAGAATATGTGTTCTGTATCAATACCAAATTCCACTCTACATGGACCCTGTACCAGTGGAACAATTCGTAGACTAGAATATGATCAAGCCCTATGTTTTGTTAGTGACTTTTGGCCTCCATCTGCCTCCTCATGGATAGACAGATGTCACTCATGGCCCAAGCCTCATTTCGTTAATAACATTGTGAAAATGGGATGTCTCTTTGTAGCAATAGGACATAAGATAGGAAGACATGAAGACCATGAATGGAGAATTTCTTTCTCTCTGGCAGAACAAAAACTAGTGAATGCAATGAATCATTCTCAATTCTTAACTTATGGCTTACTTAAAGTGTTCTTAACAGAAATAATTAACAATGGACTAGATGATGATCGGAAAAAACTGAGTTCCTATCACATGAAGACAGCAGTTTTCTGGGTGATTCAACAAAATACAACACCTCACTGGTGTCCACAAAATCTCCTGGGGTGTTTCTGGGTCTGTTTTAAGCTCATTCTTGAATGGGTGTATGAGGGGGTCTGTCCTAACTTTTTCATTCCAGACAACAACATGTTTCTCAGTAAAATTGATGGTGAAGCTCAACATCAACTATTTTTCAGATTGTATAGCTTGTATGAGAAGGGATTAGCATTCCTGCTACACAGTCCCTCCATTGGATCTTATATTATAAATGTCCTTCATAACCCCAGACTTTCCATATGTACAGATGAACATACATTGATTTCTGAGGCTGAGTTTGATAGAAACCTATATGGTGAAATACAATGCTATGACACCATTTACAAATTCAACATACAAGGCTGTATGCGACATCTACATATATTAGAACAGATGATAGATTCACCCCTCCTGACACAGTATCAACTCCTCAAGCTTCAGAAACTTACAGCTAATGTCCTTCAAAAAACAGCTTTTATATTACACATGGAAACTTACACACCTAGAAACAAACTGAGGTATAGAACTGACAAAATCTCCTGTCACATGCTGAAATTAGCAGCTAAGTTTGGTTGTATTACTGACATGATGTACAAAGCCATACATTATTACAAGGCAATTAGTTACATGGAAACTTTATCTATTGTAGAGATGATCAAGGTCAAACTAGCACAGCCTTATGTCATGTATAAGTCAAATGTAGACAGAGAGAAGTATACTGAGGCTGTAGAGGCGCAGGTAGGTTAAGGTTACAACCAAATATTCTACTTGCCTATATGATATGACGTCATAATAAGCTATATGACGTGAGATTTAGATATAAAAATTTCTTAAAATCGATATCTAAGATTGATTTGAGGTCGTAAAAATGAACCAAAATATGCAGAGGAATAATATCAACGGAATTTTGTCGTTCCTCGGCCTCTGTAGTTATCACAGGGGTTACATACCAAACCCTTGACGACATAACTGTTGATCATGCAGTAGCAGAGTGAAAGTGAAAAGTAACGAGAATTGATGTAAACAAACACAAGAAATCGGAATTTAAAAGCATTTAGGCTGAATATCATGTGTGAATCTTGTGGGAATAAAGCGTATGAATAAGGTATGGTAATATAATTCTGCAATTTCTTCGTAAAATTAAAGCAGGGAGGGTGTTTACTTGCCGATCAGCCTTTCCTCTGTCGTTCGTAACAGAAAAGATGCAAAAGTTCAACACTACGCCGCATATCTTGAAACTTAATTTTTGTTTCTATCTAAAGTTCTTATTCTCTTGTTTTTGGAAAGTGCTGCTAGAATCATATGGTTTATGGGAATTTATGCATTTTTTCGATGTTGTGAACAAAATGTAAAAATTTTGGAAAGGTTTCGTCTGAAATTGTTGAATAATTATTTCTATAAGAGGACAGTAGGATTCTAGCAGCACTTTTCATGGTGCAGAGATGTTTTTACATAACTATTAATATAAATTGGAACTAATTATCCCCGGGGTAGTGTTAAACTTTTCACTTTTTCATTAAGGCGTATTTTCTAATTATAGACGTCACGTGGTTACGTCGTGGTGAAGTGCCCCATGTAGTATAAATCCCATTGAAGTCTAAAGAATGCATAATTATAGTAAAAGTTTGATCCTGAACTTTTCCGATTTATTAGTGTTACATAATTATAAAAAAGTGTTAATTCGCCGAATTCTGATCCATTTGCTGCCTTAACAAACCCGCGGGGACAGTCCTGGTCTAAAAAGATGAGACAGGCTGTAGCTGGGGATATCATACTTTACAATAGAATCCATTACATTAGGGAATTGATACCAGAACAACAGTCCGCTCTACAGAACAAGATCCCTGCATTATTTGTCCCACCCTTGATACTGTTAAACATGCTAGAAGTCTTGTGCTACAGACATGTAGACACAATGAGAGTACAATCAGCTCTAGATGATCTACAGACCCTCGTTCACTCTGATCAGGGACAGCTAATACCTTTCAGGGACATATCATGGCAGATTCTGGGGATCTGTCAACAGGTGACAGGGAACCATCAAGCTGCTCTATACTCATACCAACAATCTCTCAGACAAGAACCTTTCAACAAAATTCATAGTGCTACCAAAATAAGAATACAGAAAATTTGTCATTTGAATCCTTTAACTACTTAATTGTGATATATTTTTTACGAGTTTACCACATATTTCTATTTACTACATATTTCTTCTGATTTCATATTTTCTTTGTTCAGTCTTTTCATATCATCAAAAACCTAATAAATAGTACATATAAAACACTGATAAAATAAAAACGGTAGAATTTTGTGTTTCTTACATATATTTAATAATATAGTATTACTCATCAAATATTATAATTTGAAAAAAAAATGTCTATTGTAGTATTTATATAATTTGCTTTAATCAAAGTGCTCAAACATGGCATTTTCCTATATAATCATTTAGTAAATGTACCTGTATTTTGAGTCGGGCCCTCAAAAATACCTGGACGGTAGATTTCCCCCAAACGTTGCATGTACACTGAAGTTAATGTAAGCTATATATAATATAAAAATGAAGATTTCGCTATTGTAGTTTTCACACAATAAAACTATAGTCGCCCCCTTAAATTATCCCGATCAAAATTATCACAAAATAAATAAAAATGCTAATTTATTGCCTCTTCATGTATTTACAATGAAATAATCCATTTTATTATCAAGTTCAATAATGTTTAACTTTTATTATACCTTATTAAACTAGTGTTCTTTGGGAAATACTATTTATTTTCAAATTGTAAAATTATGGTTGAGATCGGTTTAATTTTGATCGGGATTGGCCAAAATTTTTTTTAAAAAAAAATAATTTCTCTAAAATTTGGCTATTTCGTTTCAATTTCTTTTATAAATATGATTAACGAACATGTTCTCCCCAGTTGTGACTGATTTTAATACCCAATTCATAAGACATGGTTTGCATACCTCAGTATATTTTACACATGAGTAAATCTACTCACATGTGCAGTTTTTGTCGTATAAACTGATTTACTCATATGAAATTTCTGCACAGTTGAGTAAATTTACACCTGGTCAGGACTGGGTGCAAATTAAATTTTGCATACACTTTGTAGCAAATTCGTTCATGTGTGTAAATTTTGTCGTATGAACACGCAGCAAATTTACATATGTATGTATTTTGTTTTGTTTATTTCATAAATATCCATTTAATGTGTTGTTTCGGTTGTGTATGCATTGGTGTGTAAAATATCAGACTGTAAACATATGGTGTCTAGAAGGCAAAACTTAGAAAAAAAAAAAGGAGCCATTATCTCCTCCGAGATAATTTTTCGAATTTGTAAAAACGAGGGCATATTGCACCTTTTGTGGCAAATCTTTGTTTATGTCTATAAAGATATAGCTGTGGTCGAAAACAAGTGCCCTGTAGGATCAATAAGTAATGTCCTTACTATTCAAGTTGTCTCCCTGGGATGCTCCGGAGCTATGATAAGAACATGCTTCCATCAATCGTGCTCGGGCCTCATTACCCTAACGGTTTAGCTCTTGATGACGTTTTCTTCCTTTCTTTTTTTAAATTCATGCAACTTCTCATATATAAGTTAATGTTACATGAATTTCAATAAACTCGTTGAAAGTAAGCATTCGTAAATATCCTCTTGACACCTGATCCCACTGTGGCAATGCACTTTGAAAAAAATACGCACTTTGAAATTTTTTTTCAAAGTGCGTTAAAATTGGGACAAAATCAACGCATTTTGAAAAAATATTTCAAAGTGCGTTAAGAGTGTACATTAACATTATTATACCCCCCGCTTGAAAAGCGGGAGGGTTTATAGTAATCGTTAATTTCGTCCGTCTGTACGTCTGTCCGTCCGTCCTTCCGTCTGTCCGTCCGTCCGTCTGTTACGCTTTGGGGTACCCATCTCTTATCCGCAAATCCTCTCATACCACTGAATGAAATTTGATGCAACTTTCACAGAATCTTTATTACATATTGCCATTGTGCACCTCCTATTTTACTTTTTGATCCAACACATATTTTGGGTTTCCCGGCCACAGGAAAACATGGACTATTTCACCAGTAATAACCATATGGGGGCGGGGGGTATCATTTAGTGAGCTCATCGCTCACAGTACCTCTAGTTTACCTTGGGACATATAACGCACTTTGAAAAAAAATATGTATAAAACAATAAACTCTATACTTAATATTAGAATTTAGTAATTTTATATACATCAATATTTCAAAAAAATAAAATTTTGTTTTTCAAGCAACTTTTTATATAAAATCATTGTAAAAACTGCTTTTAAAAATATCATGAATTTATCGTGATATTGTGGGAAAAAATCGTGATATATCGCGGTACGAAATTTTTGGCGATACTCATCCCTATTACACCCAACGGCTCTTCTATGTACAGTCTTTCGGACCAAGGCCAAAGATTTTACAACATTTAATGATTTTTTTAAAAATAAAATTACCTTCGTGTGTAAATTCTCAAACCATTCTTTGTCCTTAAAGTCATTGATTTGGTTTTTTTCGTACCAAAAAATCAGTGGATCGGACCCCCCCCCCCCAACTCACACTAGTTTCTTTGAGGAACATTCAAGGTCAAGGTAACAGAAAAGTGAATAGTCAAAAGTTTTTGATTCACTTGAAAAGCTTTTATTAAAAATATCTTTTATGGTTTATTTAAAACTGAACTTAACACTAATTTAAGAAAAAGAGAAGTCAAAGTCAAAAGAAAGGTTAGGGTAAAAAAGTTTGATGCAGTTGAAAAGCTTAAATCAATATGTATTAGCATATGAAGTTTAATAAAAATATCATGAATTGTTATTTTAAAGTGAAATAAACAATAATTTAAAAAAGTAAGGTCCAGCTCAAAGGAAAGGCCAGCAAGGACAAACAATGTTGATGCAATTGATAACTCTCAACAGAGTGTATCAAAACATATAAAGTTGAATTTTTTTCTTATTTTAGTTTCTAACAGAACACCTTTGAACCGCTTTAAAAAAAAACTTGTTGCAATTCGTTTAAGGTCCATACTTCTTCTTTACTTACTGAACTATGATACCCATGGGATTGATTGATTGATTGTATACTGTTTAACGTCCCTCTCCAGAATATTTTACTGATATGGAGACGTCACCAATGCCGGTTAAGGGCTGCAAATTTAGGCCTATGCTCGGCACTTACGGCCTTTGAGCAGGAATGGATCTTTATCGTGCCACACATGCTGTGACATGGGGCCTCGGTTTATACGGTCTCATCCGAAGGACCGCCCCATTTAGTCGTTTTTTACGACAAGCAAGGGGTACTGAGGACCTATTCTAACCCGGATCCCCACGGGGAGATACCGATGGGACAAAGGGGTTTAAAAATATTTTCAGTTTCCTAGTTGTTCTTGATAAAATGAAAGAACCACGAACGATAGTATTGTTCTCCCGCCTAGTTCTAAGTCAATTCTCAAAAGCTTACATATTCGAATGATTTTCAAAATTTTTATAGATATTTATATGAATTTTTATAAAACGTCGCTTTTTTGGGATACCAAAGAGAGATAACTCTATAATTATGGTAAAACTTGAGTTTTTCACCATAGAAATCAATGGAAAACGGAAAATATTTTTAAAACATCTTTCCTCCCCGTTAAACAAAAATTCCTTTTTACAGGTAATATAGACTATCATTTTCAAATTTATGCCAAAGCTTTTTGTGTTTCACGGGGTGGGGGGGGGTACATATGTTTATAGACAAAAAACGAAAAAATGCTGATTTTTCACCAATGTTAGAGCTATTTTCAACTAAATAATTGTATTTTAATAATTTATATATGTTTATTAATTTGCGTAAAACATAAGAAAAGATATGAAATACATTTTATCATATTTAAGACTATTTCAAAATATGGTGATTCTTGAAAGTTCGATTTCACTAGAAAATATCGTCTAACCCCCTTTTTTGGAGAGCTGAAATTAATGATAATTCACTATCTAGAGCTGGAATGATTAATCAATTACCATAGAACTGTTCTTTGTATTAAACAAAGATTGAATGGCCAAATTGCCATTAAAATTGAATTTAAAGGGTGCAAAATGTAGGCGGGAATCAAGAGTTAGAGTACGTAGTTCTTTAAATGATCCCACCCAATATTCCCTATTTCTTATTCTTAACACACTTGAATCCCTTTTACCCAAGTATACTTTGTGCCAAGTTTTGATATGTCTGACAAATTAAGCGAAATTACTGCGAGATGAGATAAATTCTTCACGGAAATGTGGCTAGGAAGTGACTAGCACGTGGAGACATGGTAAATAGAAAAGTTATGTAACTTATGCTGTATTTCAGTTTTCTCCACCCAAAAAATATTTGTAGAAATGTTCTTAAATCTCTTTTTAATTCTTTAAAATTTAGTAGTCGCCTTCGTGGCGCAGTGGTTAGAGGGTCTGCTCTAGAGTCGCGAAGAAAGGAGTCAATCCTTATAGAGATAGTTCGCAAACTTTTTGATCACCCCTCGTATGCCTACTTTATAAACAATTTATTTTCCAATTCTTACCAAATACTTGTTAAAGAAACCATTATATATCTGGTAAGTGTTTGTTTTATCTGTTTATTATTTATTTGTTGTTTAAAGTTCCTCTCGATAAGCATCTTTTGTATTGTAGATCATGTGGTGCTTTGATTGTGCTGTATTAGCTATCGTCACTGTATTAGTAAATGGTCTTTTGACCAGATTTTACTTATAGAAGTTATGTGTAATACGTGACTGGGTTTAATGATACCAGTGGGGTTTGTCTGAGGTACTTCGAAGCACTGTAAATTTGTAACAGATACATTTGCAGGCTCTTTAATTACTAGCTGTCAGACTCTGTGTTACATGAATCATATGACAAGGTCCAAGTACAGACATAATGAAGGACAGGTCAAGCATAAAATATGTGTTTTATATGTATTGTGTTTAAAATCATGATTTAAGTACTTATTCGAGAAAGAGATTACATGTATAATAGAAAAAATGTATGTGGTTTCAAACAACATTGAAATCAACTCATATTAACCTGTAAAATCTAACGATACACCTGAATAAACTCATAAACTAATGTAATACTTGTTCGACCAAATTAAATACCCTTTTGGGCTTTCCCGAAAAGCTATTAAAACTTTATTGGTATTTTGTCATTCACTGTACGGTGTAAAATCAATTACATCAAAGATTTTTTAGCATTTTATTTTAGAAAAGAATGCATCTTACATGACTTAATATTGCAAAAAAAAATGGAGGCTATGGTACAATTATACGTATCTTATACTCACTAAGTATTTTAGAACTTTCAGCATCAGAATTTTGCATTTGTAACAGTTTTTACATTATTTCTATTATACTGTTTACAAAAAATGTTCGATTTTTTTTGCTGACATATGCTTCTGTTTCCCATCTTAAATAATAGGGCGACCTATACATTTTTACCAATAATGGGTAACATGAAATCAAATTCAGTTTTTGTACTTTATACCATTATAATGGTGAGGATGGAAGACCTTAATCTCATTCTGAATAATTTTTATCAGGTGTAATTATGGCATTAAATTCAATATGATTTAATATAAAATAGTTTGAATTATAATAATTACAATTGGAAAAAAATCATGCAAATTAATGCATAAAAAATGTTAATATTATATTTCTTAAGTATTAACTTAGTAATGAGAACTAGTTGTTTAACACAAATAAATGTGTTCATTCTTAACAGCGTAAAAACTT